TTGACATTGGTTTTGAGTTTAATGACTGGCATAATGAACGCAAATTTGTGTCAAGAAATGCACGAACCCGCCAAGTAGTACACAATAAGGAATCACCTAAAGTTTTATTAATTATTAAATGACCATTAAATCATAATCGACTACGGGAAGCAGTAGTAATGTAAAAGAGTAGTGAAAACGTTATAAGAAATTTTGAAAATACAATTAAAACGATGGGCCAGTGCTAGATCATATAATACGCAAACATGTAGTGACTTATGTACTTGGTCTCCATTATCTGATATCAATACTTTTTATTAGAGGAATACGCAGCACTCCTGTGTTTGACGTAGTTCTTTTACGCGTAAGTATTTTTTGATGGTCCACCTTTTTTCGTAATCCTCAAAGTGTATTATGGAAAATCCGAAGAGACTCGACCGAGTCTCTTGATGTAACGTTCATGTTTTTTTCTAATATGTCGTTCATAATTAAAGAGTGTTACTAAATATGTGCTGCTAGAAAAATAAAAGAAAATTACTACGAAAACAACATTATTTATTATAGCGAATAGTTAGTGGTAACATTGGGTTTAGTATGCACATTCAGTGGTGTGTACTAGGTCATTGTAATCCTCCAATAGTCCAACTGTACTACAAAATAATAAACCTGACATATCATACGGAAACACACAGTTTTTTGAGGTACAAATTTTTAAGGCGCCCCACGAAAAATAATAGTTGCAGTATAAACAAAGGCGCTGGACGATTCCACTAATCGAGTTTGTTCCAATTACATTACTTTTGACCCATCATCGGACTGATTTCGAAAATGGCCTTATCGAACTGTCATCAACAGAGCAATGACTTGAAGCTTTATGGGCTAGTACTTATAAGGCTGTCTTCACTATATTTTGCACTACGTATGTGTGTGAAGTGATTTTTCGATTCATGATCACAAGGCGTCGGCTATCGATTCAGATAACATTCTCATCCTCTGGTTTTCTTCGAGTCCGCTACCTTGCTCAAAAGCTACGCTCTCGGGTTGATTCGTCAAGTTACGCCAAAGTTCTCGGAGCATTGTATATAGTTTAGTCGAGGTCTAGGTGCTCGAATCTGCCGTGGGGAGATAGTCTCGACGTACCGAGTTGCCCGGCAGAGGAGAGTACCCGACGGAGACGTCTCCACGGACCGGCAGAAGCCCGGGTGAAATACTGGGCCCCCGCTGGAGAGAGGCCAAGGGCTGCAGAGCGGGCGAAGATATAGTTTTGATACGATTAAGGGCAGGGGAAGAATCCCCTGACCCGAGTTAAGGATGTGGTGCCCAGCTGTTGCCCGATGCCCTGGGAAAGCGGCCATGGAGGATCTCCAGTTGTTACATACCGATTCGCTAAGAAACGCTCTCGATTTGGTTTAAAGGGACGACTCGACGGAATGGTAGAGTTATCGGCCTTGACCAATCAGAGTGATTAGTTCTCGAATTTGGCCATTGTCAAGGCAGTGTGTCTCGGAGCACCGACGGAGGTGTCACGAGCTGGCTCCAGCTCCCGTGTTATCTGTTGATAGTTTTTCTAGCTGTGTTTCAATATGATATCGAAGGTTCCCGCCTGTGTGGTTCTCGCGTTGCTGTCGCGATATCCGGGAAATTCTGTGGATTTTCTGAGTGTGTTCCGGAGGTGTAGTGCCTATTGCAGTGGCCACCTGAGTGTCCTCTGGATACACTTCTCGGTTTTACGCGACCCCAAAAATCGACAGGATCCGTTAAGTTATCGCAGTTTCTGATAGGTTCCGTCAGAGCTCTCATTTTGGCGGAGTTGGGCCTGTTCCACCCAAACTCCCAGGTCATATCGGCTTGTCAGTTCCCAGTAACAAAATAATTGGCTGGCGTCCGCCTAGTTTGCCGATGCATGAGCAAAAGGTGGACGGCCGAAGGTAACGTAGGTTAGTTCTCGTAGATAGTTAGTTCTCGGATTTTGCGCTATCGGTGTCGAGTTAAGAAAATACGTTACAGCGTATAGACCAGTTTTATTATGTGACCAATGAGAAACATGATTTCTCTGCTTTTTCAAAGACCAGTTCAACGAATTTGAATATAGTGTTTAAATATTAGATCAATTTGCGCTGATTTCGTTAAATTGTTATACATATAAACACGAGTAGTTATATCTAACTAAATAATATAATTGAATAATGCGATACTGCGAAAAGGAAAATGTATTCAACAAGAGCTACGATAAAGTACATTGGACCAGCTAACGTACAGTATGCTGAAAATGAGGCCAGCAACAAAAGTAATAGAAACGAATAAAATCTCCTAAGTGCGTAAAGAACACGAAATGCGGACTTTTTCAAACCGTTACTGAAACAAACTAAACCTCTCTTATTTCTTCCTTCTATCGTTACATCAGCACTCTCCTCAATGTTCACATTCCCATTACTTCCTACTCATAGTGCATACTACCACAAGAAACAGTCATATCATAGAATCAACCTTCACTCTATACACGCAAAATCCCTGTTGTAGATTGACAGTCGTGTCATGCGATTGTATCTTTTTCCCACTGCAGTAGCCACTGACAAGCTGATCTGTGACTATCACCTCATGCATATCACAATCGTTTTCCCTGTTGGACATTGTTTTTAGAAGCACCGATGCAATTTAATTCTGTCCCGAATGCTTTTCTTATATTTACGATCTAAACAGGACAACTTTAGAAGACAATATGTCAGTAATGGACTGATTAACAATATTGAAATTTCGATAAAAAACCTGCTATAACCCACTGAACAATACATTTGCATAGCAAAAGTTAGTTTTTGAATTTTGTCTACTGAAGTAACCACCTAAAGTCATAATGTTACGCGTGTAGCAATACATTTAGACCAACCTGTGTTTTGAGGTAACTTTGTAGATCTATCAATTCTCTATCCCGTCTTACGTTGAAATATCATCTGCGAAAGAGTTTGTCGGGTTTCATTTGTCATGATGATTTTCAAAATATTATCTACGTTCACAAGAGGTTTACAAGACTTGGGGCCTCTACAATCTACAATATCAACTGTAAATAATACTGATCCGTTCTTGCTTAAGTTAAATAACAGCTATCTTTTGTGTTTGTTTCCATGCAAAACAGAAGTATGGTTCCAGTATTAGAATAGTGTTCAATTTTTTTTCAATGTGAACAGAAAAGTATGTTAGATATGAGATTACCTAGTGTAATTTTTATTTGTTTATATACTTAACAATTTTGTGTGCAATAAACGGTTAACCGTTTCTTCTTTTAGATTCTTTTACTGCATACGTATATTGATTACATATAGAAAAGTATTTGGTAGACAGGCGCTAGTCGAAATTCTTACCTGCTTTTTATTTTAATAAATACACTTTTTCCTATATTAATTCAACACTAATGTCATACAGCGTGTATCCACTGTACAATGAGGGAGACATTTTTAATATTAATATATGTAATAAGAAAACAACCTTTATTCTCGCCTCTACAATACGTCTTAGACATTGTCATTTATGATGGTATCGCATTTAATAAAATTCTGTTCCTTGTAATAGAACTTTAATATATCGCTATACGCTTACTGTTGATATTTTCACGTAAATACCATCCTTTGGTGACAGAATGGCAGCTCTTGGATGAATCTCGTAGGGAACTTTTGTTTTATCACATATATTTACTTTGTGCCTTAACAAAAACTTAATCAAGCCTACTTTTGATTGATACAAGGCAAATCTGGCGCCTGTAAAATAATAGGATACTTTAATATATCTATTGTAATTAGTTATTGAAATAAATATTTGAGAACATTCAGATTATACGTGTAATATTAGGATGTTATGAGACAGCCTAATCATTTGGAAGAAATTTAAGATATTTTCAAATTTTATATTGAGGAATTGAAAAAAAAAGTATTTACCAATGCAATTTCTAGGACCATCGCCAAATGGTAGATAGTACATTGGATGTCGGGCAGCAATGGCTTTTTCGGTGAATCTTTCCGGATCGAAAGTTTCCGGAGAAGGATATATTTCTGGATCACGATGTAATCCAAGAATCGAAATAAAAATTTGCAATTTCTTGGGAATTGTAATCTTGGTTTCGCGAAATGTGTACGGTTGAGACGACTCTCTCGCTACTAATGCTGCAGGTGGATATTTCCTCATAGTTTCTATTAAAATAAAAAAAGCAGTTGAAAACAGGTTCACCCCAACGGCCGATCGCTTCAACCATGCGACAGCACCTCATGCATTTGTTGCTTCTGCGACGACGAATGCGTAAGAAACTGTCGCACGTTCCATGCGATCGTCCCTAAAAATTGAATGACTTCAGAATAAACTTTATTCACCTTTAAATACCATATCGAGCTACTGCATATTCTTTACGCCTTCAAAGGTCAATTCGCCGTTGTTCTTTTTGATCTCTTCTTTTATCTCTTGGCGAAGCTTATCCTGCATCTCTTGATGAAGTGCCATTTCGTACAAAGCATTGCTCATGGTTGTTGAAGAAGTTTCAAATCCGGCAGCAAAGAAAACAAAAGCCTGGGCGGTAAGAAGTGCGTCCGTGATTTCTGCA